TATATCTTTTCTTAAAATTATCATTGAAACGATCAAATAAGTAATTACTGTTTTCAATTATTTTTATGAGTCGTAGAAAAATTTTGAAAACTTACTTGCTGAATGAAAACAACACCTCTTTACTATTAGAGACGATATATTAAAATAAAGAAACTGCAAACAAAAAAAAAATAAAAAAAAACAAAAACAATAAATATAGCCATAGTAGATTAATTTTTACTACTAAAATAGAATTTAATCAATCAACTCTTTCATTATATACAATAATTACAAACAATCTAAAAACAATGTCAATTAGTATATTCGTTTAAAATCATACTTCAGTGTTTAATGTAAAAGTAATTTAAACTTTTAAGAATTTAATTCCTATATGTTTATTTATTGTTAATTTATAATAAATAATGGTGTATTAAAAATGCGATAATCAATTTTCTATTTAAATAATGCAATATAATCTACCATATGGAATGAGAATTAGAAGCAACAACAAGCCTACAATTGTGTGAAATTATGTAAGCTTTGGGTAGTCGGTAATTACATAAGATTTTATTAGGATGTGGAATTAAAAGAAAAAAATTTTTACTTTATTGGGCTAATTTAAATGTCAAGAAAAATTTCATTATTTAACTAATTTTTAATTACCTATTGTGCATGATATTTTCATTCCTCGTAATCGCAAAAATTTATTAACCTTTTCCTGTCTCCATATTGTTTAATCGTATTCTTCAATTGTTTATATAACATAAACATTCCAAATGTTTTGCACTTGAAAAAAGTTCTACATTTAACTTCTATGAATTTTCATTAAAAAGGAGTTTCAAATACAAAGCTTGAGAACACTTAAAATATAAAAGTTTGTTATATTATTGTATTATTGTTTTTAAAAATTGTCCTACGACATCGAATGCAATTAAATGTAACAATAATTTTATGATTATATTTCATTGGAAAAATATATAATGTATATGTGTGAAATATTGAGAGACTTATACTATGCAAAAGTTTCTTAGGCCAATTATATAATTGTAACATTATATGTAATCTTCGCTGATTCTTAAATATTTTAATATAGATGGATGACATTAATGTCTTTCTGTAAATAAATGTTTGAAAACACTTGGCAATTGACCTTTTAATTTATAAACGAGAACAGCTTGATTTATGCTTGCATGAAACTTATTAATGATAATATTATACAACATTAAGTTTTTGCTATAAAAAGAAATGCAAAATTATAAAGTAACATCATATATAATGTTACACATAAAATAAAATAAAGTACCTTAAAAATGCAGTGCGCATATTACCGAGGAAGATTACATAATAAACATCATAATAGCAGGTTAAGTTAGCAGACGAAATAGAGTTTCCTTATTTGCTCTACTACTTCCTTACTAACTTCGTCTCATTTTATAATTTAGTGATGTTCACGCGTACAACTACTTAACATACACATCCATATAGAAAATCGCATTATTAAACTCTTTCATGTCATAAAATTCGAGAAATTAGCACTTCATTTTCGATATTGGATTAGAATGCTGAAACTGATGATGATTAGGATTATTGATTGTATAAATTTCATATTAAAATACACGGATGGGAAATAATTTCTCATTCAATCTATTTTAAATATCAATAATTTCATATGATAATTTTAGAATAAAATATGTTTTTATAATAAAATATGTCACTACGCGTTTTATAACTTTTCATATATTTTTTAGATTTTTAGCTTTAGAAGGCATTGAAATATCCATAAAATACGATGAAATATATATTTTTCCTAAAAACACTATTTTGTTTCAAAAGCCAACATTTATTCCAAATCGAATATTCAAAATATTCCCTACGAATTTCCGATAAAGGTCGATATTATTATGCCGATCGATTATACAACAAATGCTTTAAAACATGATTATACCTCTGGGCATATTAGAGAATTGGTGTATGTGTGCGTGCGTGCGTGCGTTTATCTGCACGTGCGCGCCTAGGATTGTAAGTACAAAACAAATATAGAATTGAGCAATGATGCTTCGAACGTCGGATGCTCGGATTAATATTTATAATGATATTATACGTTTAGATGTTTCGCATCAATTTCATAAAAAAAAAAATAAAAAAAAAAACACAAAAGTGATACATTTTACTTGTGCACAAGCAAAGCCCAAACAACTTTTTAATAATAAATGAACCAAGAATTTTTAAAATAAGCTTAGGATAACGTTGGACTTACAAGAATTGCATATTTGTTAATAAAATACGTTCACAACACACATGATAATTAAATATTTTTTAATTAACACTCGCACAGTTCTTATTCCATCTCGACTATTAAGTCTTTATATAAATGTAAAAATCATATAATCTTCGTATTCCTATTTAATCTACGTATTTATTATTCGCCTTCGTGCATTAACGATGCAGATGTAAATATACAGACGTTCAAGATAAGAAAAATTTTCTTTAAAATAATGGTTTGAGTTTTACACTGAATTAATATTTTCTAGATCATGGTTTGCAGCAATATCAAATAGTTCGAATATATCTGTGTAATATTTAATTGAAAGCAAAAAAAAAAGATAATATTGCGAATAAATTATTCTATTATTTGAATATACTGAAATTAGTGCTAAATTACAGCACATAGGCAATTTAATAAAAATATGATTGTTAAATACAGTATTGTCAATATTTATAAAAAATAATACTTAGTAAAGGATCACAAGACTAATAAATATTTAATAAATATACTAATATTAGATATCATTATTATTATTATTTCTTCATTGTTTCTTAATATTTTCTGTTTTATTTAAATTATAGTGTAAATATATATTCGACTGTAATTATTAACTATATTGTATTGATAATAAGTTGTTACTTCATTGGTAAAAATGCGAATTTTCAAAATATTTATTTACGTTTTAATATTTAAATGAGTATTTTCTCTTTCTCTCTCTCTCTATATATATATATATATATACGCGCACGCACGCCCGTAAATAAGAGAGAGAGAGAAAGAGAGAGAGAAAGAAGTATTGTGATAGCTCGATGGTATTGCTCGATAAAAAATCCATATTAAATGACCTTAGAGAATCAACGATTTGAATTTAATAATTCTGCATGACGTTGATTTGGTTTTGCTGTTTTGCTAGTGAATTTGCTGGAAATCTTCAATTGTCATTGACTTCACGGGATTTTCAAGTACGATATTGGGCTGAATTCTTGGTGATAGGTCGGATAAGAATTGAAAAGGACACTGGGTTTCCTCACTGGCTTTGGCGAATGGACTTTGAGCATTGATCGGGTTAAAAAATCATGCCAAAACGTGCAGCGATTACGAATTTCAATGTGTGCAATTTCCTATTGCGGAACTGAGTATCGACTGAGACAAAAGTATTGCAGAAACATAATATATGTACTAAAGTCTATTTATGGGTTTGTGATTTTTTTCGTAGTATAATTGTGAGTATAATCAATTAGTACAATTGCTAACCTTTTAAATAATATGAAAAACTATTTATCGTTCTTCTTAATGTCTGTACCTTCAAGACAATTGTATTATTAACGCGAAAGTAATGTTTATTCTAATAATTTAAAATGTCAGTTCTTAAATTCCATGTGGTTAATTCGAATAAATTAGTAGGAGTAAATAATAGCAATGTATCAGTTTGATATATATGCTGCGAGCAATTACTTCAATTAAATAGAATGAAAAAGCAATTAGTTTAAAAAATCAAATAAATATGTGTAACATAAATTATTATAGTTTCAATTTATGTGTTGTCTCGTAAGAAAAAAAGAAACGTAAACTTTTGATAGAATCCAATTATTAATTATCTTTTACTTATAAATTAAAAATATTATATTTTCATAATTCAAATAGTGAGCGAATAAAGTGCAAACGCGTGCGTATGAATATAAGCAATTATAATCGTTTTGAATTATAATATTAATTTAATATTAATTCCATCATATTTTGATTGAATATTTTCCCTTTGTCGAATACCTTATTTCTAAATGATTATTCGATTAAGAATAATTTTTTCATAAAATAAAGAAAGAAGAAATTTTCTTATTCTTTTTAAATTTATAATGCTATTATTACAAATTAATAATCACGCTGTTTAACGATATAATTAATTGATTTTTAAATACCGCATACGTATTATATTATCTTTTGAATTGAAATATAAAGTTTTTAAATTAAAAATACAATTTCATATACTTTGAAAGATTTTACGCTTCATGTTTTCAATGATATACAATACTTAATACACTACTGCGTCAATGTAACTACGAGATGATAAATACGAGAATAATAAAAGTGAAATGATGAAAAAAAAAAAGAGTGAGTGAGTGAGAGAGAGAGAGAGAGAGAGAGAGAGAATAATAAAGCTAAAATGTATAGTGAAAAGTTAGACAAGCGACGAGATAATTTGAAAGCATCAACACTTAAAGTTACAACATCAGACTTTCGCTGATGAATGAGAAATTTTAAGAAACTTCTCTCTTATTGTCTAGAGTTATCGTTCGAAAGCGACTTTAAATCAATAAAATAGTTCGATCGTACAGTGTGCTCGCGGTCCGTTACAATATTTACAAAATTAAGGCAACTTATTAAGGCTAATAGGGATCGAGAGAGATTTGAAATCATATGGAAATCAAAGCCTGCTCGTTCGGCTGTAACAAACACATTTAATGGGAAAATACCTTGTTATCTTGTATAAATATACCGTTAAAGCGATGGAGAAGCTCTAGGAAGCGACAAATTCCGGGGTCGGAGTAGTCGAATTTGTCCGTTAAAAGGGAATTTATTTCCACGTCCCTAAGCATAAAGCCGGGTGTAACGAAAACTCCGGCCCCTCCAACCGTCCAAGAATCCCACTGTAAATCCGCCCTAAATTTAGCAAGACACGCGCTTCCTTATTCCCCGCGCATTTAATTTGCCCAAAATCTAAAACTTCCACTATTTGTGTGCTTTTTTGTTGATTTAGGTGAATGACCCGGAGAGCGGCGCTCCATCTGGTGGAAATGCGGCGGAGGGGCCACGAAGGAGTTCAACGGAAGCATCCTGGTGAGTCTGACTTTTTTCTTACTCCCGTTCGTTCATCCTCGGAGCTTTTGAAGAAAAAGTTTTCGTGACGACGTTCGCTCCTCACGACCGCCACTAAGCAAAACTTTTCCGAGCGCAGTGTGGCACCGGACGACTACTACTGCTACTACTACTACCCCTTCCTTCTTGGCCACCCTCCTTCTTCTCAATTCCTTGTCCGAGGAGGAGGAGGATGGGGGAGGGTTGGGGAGGGGAGTGGAGAGGGGATGGTGTGTATGGCTGGTCGGGACGAGTCCAGCTTTCGTAATATTAGCCACGGCATTCCGGTTTTACATCTCTCGATGCCCGGCGACTCCTCTCGCGTCTATTTTGAAATACGACCTTTCTTTTTTCCTCGCTGGCTTTTATCGCTGTCCTTTATTAATTCCTATTCTTTCAACGCTCACGTAGTCTTGCTTCTTCGGCTATTTATTATGAATAGTGGCTTTTTCCTCTCAGACTTTTCGCGATATTTCTAATATTCCCCATGAAATGCGGGATGCCCGTCTTTGAGGATTGAATATTTGTGAAGCGAGCGACTCGTGCCGGGGGAATTGATCATTCCATTTTATACTTCATTATTGACGAGTCAAAATGTCTCCGAAGCAATGAAATAGACGGCGATCTTTTATTTTAAATAAACATGGGAACGAAAATAAACTACAATTTACATGATTGATTTATTAATAAAAGCGACATTTACGATTCTAAAATACACCCGTCACATGAGTTATTATGCCGAGCGGAGCGCGCAAGACTTTATTCTCTCCGCGTAAAATTCTTTAGCTAAAAAAAATTAATTAAATATCATCATTGGCTTGGGATGATGTTTAAATGAATAAAATGCTCGCTATAATTGCCAATGGTTTGTCGGACGGCATTATTGAAAAATAGTGAGCAACTTTGATGATCCGTCGTTACGTTACGTCACACGCCTCGTGCGATTATAGCTAATAAGAATAAATCGGTAAAGTCGAGTTTTGCCGATTTATTTCATTATACGGAAAACCTACCCGCCACTCCTGCCATATAATCGCTAAACAAACAGTTAGCAAAGCCTCCAAACCCACTTTTTTATACTTTATATCTCGCATTATATTTGACACTTTGTTTCGCATTAACAATCTTGTTTGGGCCGCGCGCTTATTAATTCTTTCGAAACATTAATATCTCCAACTAAATTCGTACGATCGATTAATTCAATTTTCTCGGCGGCCTTTCAAAGCCATCAACACGACAAAATGCGCGACGATTGCACCCGGGAGAGACGAGCGGTCGAGTTATTATGGCGAGCATCGACGCGAACAATTAAAATAACGGCCAATTCCAAAGATCATAATTGCTGAGCCAAATAAGCCGACTACTCCTGGGACAACTCCATAACGCGTGCTCGTCCGTCCAATAAAGAAAGCCAGCCCAGGAAATATATGTGCCCTTGGTAAAAGGGGCAAGGAACTGTACAGGGATCTTAAATTGCACGGAGCCCCTATCCCCTCCCGCCCACACAATGAAAAATGACGTATATATAAACGTTCCCCAGGCAGCAGCAGCAGCAGCAGTACGAGCGCGACGAGAAGAACACGAGAGCCAAGGAGACGAAGCTAATAATCGTCGTCGGGCTGCTCGCGGTCGCCGTGATTGCCCTCATCGTCACGCTCACTCTTCAAATAGCCGTTTTCGGCAAACAGGAGTACAAGGAGATGTGTCAGAGCGAGGAGTGCATAAGGACCGGTGAGGCTTTCATCCCCCAACGTAAACTGCTTATATTGCGCGTCTATTGCCCCCATCTTATCCTGTATGGGGGAGTGGGGAATGCTGGAATCCCTTACAGCGGTTATACTTATCGAGGGGTGTTCTTGTTTTTTTTACTCTCTCTCTCTCTCTCTCTCTCTCTCTCTGTCTGTCTGTCTGTCTGTCTGTCTTTCTCTGTCTCTCTCATCGTAAGCTTCGCTAGCACTCGCTTCCATTCCAATCATTGTTTGGCCAATAGTGCGCGACGTCGAAGACCGTTTACTTCAAACGAGAACTCTTGCCATTATTAGAAGTACTATCGGTCGAATAATTAACATTACTGGTGTGGTTCGTATTTCTAATACTTGTATCGCTGATGTCCTCTTCTAGCGCAACAACAGTCACCCTCGTCTATCATAATAATCTTGATTTCTTTCAAAAATCTAAACTAACTAATAAATTCATGGTTATTATTTTATTTTAACGCTACGTGTGTTTTTATGTACGTTTGAGAGAGACAGGCAGAAAGAGAGGGAGAGAGGGAGAGAGAGAGAGAGGGAGAGAGAGAGAGAGAGAGAGAGAGAGAGAGATAAAAAAAAGTAATATTTTTTACTTTACGTAATCTTTTTACAGATATAGAATAAAATTAAACTAATACATTTGGAATTTGATATTTTGCTCAAAGTTCCAAATATCAGAGAAGAAAAGTTGAAACTTCATCATTATTAAAATAGTTTGAACGATAATTTTGTGAAATTCCATTATTCGCTATTTTCATTTTAGTGATAACTTATAATACAATTTCTCTTTTATATCAATACGAAATTTTCATGAATTTAAAGCTTGAAAGTTTGCCACAATACCGTAAAAAGTAACGCGGAATCAAACTATATTATTTCAGATTCAAACATTCAGTTCCATTAATGCAATCCTTACCTTCTCCTATTAACGCATATTTCACTAACTTGATAAAAGGCTTTCCAGATCCTCTTAGAATTAAATAAGATATAAATTTTATTTGAAAAAAATAATTATATCGGCGCAGGAAAAGCAAAAATCGATATTAAATTTTATTAAATTAAATTAATTTACAATTACATTTACTGTTGTTCGCGCAACAAACTAAAATTTCTAATAAACAAAGCAAAAGATATATATATATATATATATATATATATATGTACGAAAATTTACTAACCTCCACCAAGTGATTTTTCAATTAAATTTTCAAAAACTTGTACAACTAATTTATCTTAGAATGCGTTTTATAAATAAATAAAAAAAATCTTCAATAACAGCTCTGTTTAAATTAACCAACTGTCAAATATAAAACATTTGCTTTTATATATACTTTTGAAAAAAATAAATTTCTTTTTTTTCTCTTGAAAAGAAGCTGTCGATGCTGATTACATTGTGTCCAAATCAATTGTGATTTCCATAGAGTGATTTTTAACTTTTTTATTTTTTTCTTTTTTTACAAAGTGTATGTCCTCCACAAATGAACTCAAATGAAGACTGAACGACATTTACTATGCGCGAGAGGAAAAAATTCATTTGAAAAAAATTGCAAAACGAGTTGCCCCGATGAAAAGTCAGACAGCCGACCACATAATTATGCACCGTATAAACTGTAAAATTTGTTTGATAGCTGCGAGAGTAATAGAGGGCCTGAATAAAAGTGTCGAGCCCTGCGAGGACTTTTACAACTTCGCCTGTGGAGGATGGATTGCCAAGCATCCCATACCCCAGAGTGAAACTTCCTGGGACCAGTTGAGTTTCTTGAGGGAGGAACTTCTAAAGAACCTCAGGATACTTCTCGAGGAATCGGATCACGACGATGACCCCACGTCCGTTAAGATGGCCCGAGCCTTTTACAGGACCTGCATGGACACCGGTAAACTATTATAGCCTAAGATAATAAGCGTTTGAGAGCTTCGTTAGTCCGAACATCTTGAAAGTTCAATTTAGCCTAGACTCGATAGACGTAAGTATACGTCGTGTTAACAACTAAACACGCTGACTAATGAAAAGGGACAATTATCAAATGTGTAACAATTCCATTATTAATACGATCATTAACTTCTTTAGTTTTTTATTAGAGAGAGAGAGAGAGAGAGAGAGAGAGAGAGATAGATAGACCATTATTTTTATTATCTTTAAGTTATGGTTCTGTTTTTTTTTAACGAAACAATCGCAATTCGCTCTTTGTATTCGTGATTGTGCGGCCATTAATTCATCTTTAAATATATTTACAATGTAATAAGGAAAATTACGGATGTTTTTTAAGAATTTCGTATTTCTTTATTGAGCCACGGAAGCAAATAATTAAGATGAAATATAAGATGTAATTTAATAAACTTGAAAAACGAAAGTACTACTATTTTTTTCTTCTCTTCGTAAAAATTTTATTAATATTATTAAATTTTATTAAATTCCTATGAAGAAATTTACCGTGCACATTATTATTTAACAAGTTGATAATTTCATATAAAGCATCGCGCATCCCAATTAACTTAAGCTTTAATTAAAATTCTTTTACTAGCCAAGTACGTGCGTACCGATTATTCGAACAAGTATTAAGTTGGACCTCATTTTCACAAAAACTTTTTTACTCCTCTCGGTAGATAATTTAACATTATGAAATTATTTTTAAGCTTGGACATTTCGTATTTTGCGTACTTACCGCGACGCGTTGATAATTGAATAAAAAATTAAAATAAAATAAATATTTGCAGAGTTGAATTATTTTGGTATTGGTGCTTTAAAATTGAATGTACAAAGAAATTTCAGCGGCATAAAGTATGGCAAACAAACGTCAAATATGGCATTATACGAATAAGTATTTTAAGTCACTTTTACATACAATATTTACGAAATTTTTACAAAATATTTTCCTTCAAACGATAATATTGTCCTTCTAAAGAGGAAATAATGAATTTTATTTCGTTCTCCTAACATTAGCGATTGCTTGTATTCAAATTATCATTCTTATTCGATCGCTGCATATCTTAACGGGATGGACTTAACAATGTGTAATAATAATGGTCATACACGACAGTAGTTGCGCTATTAATACAAACTTTTATGAGAATTCGTTTCGCGCTCTTTTATTTACTGGCATTCCGAGCTTTCGTTTTAATAGAACAATCGCGCATACAGTGCAATTACGTAAAGATTTTGCCTCAAAATTTTTACATTTTATTGACATAAGAACTTATGATAAAAATTTTAGTGCATACCTATTAGAATTTATATTGCATTGTATTCGAAAAGTTATCTATAATTATTTGAAATTTGTCATGACTTCGTAGTTGGCGTGTTTACCGGCGAAATTTTAACCATTTGAACATTGAATCGAGCCAATAATATATCTTATATTTTCACTCGCGCGCTTTTCTTCGACGTCTTTATATTATTAAATTGAGCACAGTGGGTGTAAGATATGCACAAACAATTACGATTACTATTTACATTATAAATAGAGGGGCTTTGCGTAGACATGGTGAATTTGTCCGAAACATTACAATAAACTCAATTATTAATAGTAATATTTATTCATATATATATATATATATAATTACTAACTACTAATCGCCGGAAGTACTTTTGTAAGAAAAGAACTTAATTGTATCATCGAATGCTATTGCACGATGTGTCGCATCGATTAATTACCTCTAATTACTGACGATGATAATAGATATTGAGTATTATTGAAACTGGTAGCATTATTAAGCACGATGCTCGCTCTATATCATTTGTATTTAAATTACATTTTATTTAATCTCAAGAATCACAAGGTTAATAAAATCGCGCCTGATCGAACGTTGGTTTTATGTTTTCGATTAATTGAATAGGTGGACGATAAAAAGGCAACAATTCTCGTTAGCAATAAGACATGCATGTTTCAATATCTCATTCGAATGATTCGAAATATAATTCGTCATCTCTGTGAAGCATGCGATTATAAATATACGTATTACGTTAGTTACGTGCCGATAGTTTGGCATTATTGTCGTACTGGCTCGTTGAAAGCTATAATTTACATCGCACGAATTAAATTATCGAAACATTATGGATTAGTCCTACACGTACTAGAAAATCGACACGCACTCCATAATATCAATCGTTAAGCCGAAGGCTTTTCACGTTGACTCGAAACTACGCAAAAGATCGTTGAAAAGAAAGCTCGATTGAAGCACACTCCAGAAGCTGCATTTATGATAAAAACAAAAAACAAAAAAACAAAAGAAAACAAGAAAAAAAAAAGAAAAAAAGAGGTAGCGAGGAAAGTAAAGGAGTAAATGATGCGTCCGATTTTTCCCATTTATAGTCCCGACCTAACCTTAACCATTGTTACAGTTAGTGTCGAGTCGCTCGGCCTCTCGCCAATTTTCCACATAATGGAAAGACTGGGACTGCCCAAGCAGCTGCCCATGAACAACAACGAGGCACAAAAGCTCGACGTGGCCAAGCTGTCGGGCATGGTGCAGCGTCTCCTCGGGCTCAACCTCTTCGTAACCTTCGACATCAGCGAGGACGTGCAGGACACGACGCGTAACAAAATGATGGTAGGCGCTTCTCCTTAAAACTCCATCCACTCGCACGGGAACTTTATCCGCGATTCGCGTCATTCCATTTACGTTGCCCCCCCCCCCCCCCCCCGCCTTAACCAATTGCCGTAACGGAACACGGAGCGAGTTTAAACGAACTCAGTGTGCAAAACGTGGAGCTACGAATGGCACTTTTTGGCACCCCGACTCGTCTCTTTTATTCCAGCTTGCGTTAAAGCTTCGCCATTCTCTTTTGTCTTCGAAATTCATAAAGTTTTATTGGAACTTGGAGGGGGGGGGGGAGCGAGCGAGCAATAGTCGTTACTCAGGGATAAATGTACGATCTCGCGGTAAGCGGTCACTAGCGCAAATTCAACGGGAAGTTTTTGTATCCTTGGGCCAGTAGAAAATGGAAGTATTTCCTTCCTTACTGACGACCAGCGGCCCCACCATAAATTCCAGTCGAGTATATCGGCCGGGGCGTGGGCAGGGGCCTTTGCCCTCTATCGAGGAAAGAGCTGTGAAATTTCATCCGCCGAGCCGTTAAATCGATAATCGATTTGAAACAAACGATCGGCTGTCCGCGAGGCTTCTACAAGCTGCGAAAAATCACACGGTCGAGATAAGTGGCAAGGACCCGTTTAAATAAAGCCGCGAACTTGAAAAGCTTTCAATGGATAGTGGGGCTCGGGAACATTTATATCCGTGCCCGGCGAGCCGAGGATTTCACTACGAAGCCGCTCAGCCGCCGGATTCCCCGTCAAAGTTATTAAGTAGACATTGGAAGTTTGGCAGGCCAGTGCACGACCTCCTATAAATGAAAATCTATGCCGCGGGATGTCCGAGGGGGAACGTTGTCGCTTCATTATCCTCCTGACGGCCGATCGATTATTTATTGGACTGTCGGAATGAGGACGTCAGCGATTCTTATGACGAGAAAATACGGTCTCCGTGGTGAGCGTTCGCATACAATTAAGGAAAATTGTAATTGGACGCAATTCGTTCGGCCAAATCTTTCGATTTTTAACTCCGCACTTAATAAAAATTTAACATCCCAGACAATAATATTTTATCTAACGCCTTTCTGCTCTTTCCAAGGATTTATCATTACTCACGTTCGCTTAAATCTACATGGTAACTTGTAACTTTTTACGTCATCTGGATTTCAATTTCGTTTAATTTTTCTTATCTTTTTTTCTTTTTCTTCAAGGCTCTTTAAGGATTCTTTTTCTTTGAGGATCATTAGAGCTCATTAAGATTAAATTTACGAATAGTATATCCGATGTGCGTTATTATTCATAATGGAACTATGTACAATGACAAAACGGCAATTATTTAGCATTAAATTTGTAAACACTCATCGCATACATCATTTACAACTAAAGAATTATAATAAAAAAAAATAATAATAATAAAAAAGAAAAAGAAAACCTTGTCCTTTGTGTCGGTTAGACTAAAAATTTACGTATAACTTAATACTTTGAAACGATATGCTTACAAATTATTATAAAATTTTCCGATTTTGTCGATACGAATTGTATTATGAAATTTATTTCGACAAACGAATTTCTCAATTCTAAAGTCCAAAGTTAATAATGTTAAATAAATACTTTGAATCGCGAAACTAGGCAATCGCAAGAACATTCAACATATTTCCTATAAACATTCACGAGGCCAACTCGTCGTATTTTATAGCTGCCATTGGATTAATATAAAAGCCATTTTTCGTCGACAGTCCCGACAGTCCTACCCGCTGCCATAAATAATCAGAACGGAATTAAGCTTAAAATGAAAGTTATATATTCATTTTATTAAAAAGGCTCCCACCGACACATCTCTAGAATTACGCGTAATAAAATCATTAAATTCGAAAGAGCGAAGGGAGAGTGGATGGCTTCGTGTAATACGAGAATCCGTGTTATAAAATACATCTTAACAGGCAAAAAGGTTCAATCGCCGACACTCGTATATACTTTTAATCCATTTCGAAGAACACGTTTTCCCAATATAAAAATAAAGGAAGAAAGAAATAACGCAATACCGAACCCTCGAGCCTTTAAAATATCCGCTCGAAGGGTCTGTTCTCCGGATCTCGCGAAATTCTGCCCTTATATGCAACGGGAAATAAGCAAAAATAGTAAGAGAGAGAGAGAGAGATAAAAATACACGTTTTTCCTTTCAAAGATGGAACAAGTATCGCCGGGCTTTAGCGAGCGCTATCTACTCGACCCTCAGCGCTTCCAGTCGGAGCTCCAGGAGTACAAGAAATACATAAAATCCATGGTCGAATTGATCGGTGCTGGTGAGAAGAGCAGCGAGTTCGCCGAGGAAATTCTGGAATTCAGCACACGTATTGCTAAGGTGAGTCTTTGAGCTTGTTATGGCACTAAGGATTTTCGACTCTCGCCTTTGAGGTGAACGATGATGGAAGAAGTCGACAAATAATCGAACCTCGACACTTTAACTTAACAAACGAATTTTTAATCTTAAAAGTCAATGGGCCAAGTAGCTGCAATATTTTATTGCTACAGAGAGAGAGAGAGAGAGAGAGAGAGAGAGAGAGAGAGAAAAGATGGATAAGAAACAAAGTTAATGTTTCTCGCGTTTGCTAATGTAAATTATCGTGTAAATTAATATTACATGCTACTTGGATACTCGAGCTTATAAATTTTTCGCCGTTAAAATTATACAAATGCCTCGAGCTACTGTAAAATAAGAAATAATTAGATAATTAAATGAACTAGGAAAAATATACAAGTGGACGATTAAAACGTCGATCATTGACATTCGAATGTGAAATTAATCGATAATTCAAAGGCCAACGCACGATACATCCTTTGATACAATTTTTCATAATCCTGAAAAATGCAGGATAAAATATAATATTACTTTGTTCGGATAGATTTTAACGACTCCGGAGGAACGTCGAAGTGCCAACCACTTTTTCCACGAAGTCACCGTCGATCAGCTGCAAAAGGTGACTGATATGGAGATGCTTCAGGTATGTTGACGCGAAGTATAAATTTTCTTATTTTCCCGTCACTTTATATACGTTACATCGGCATTCTCGACACACTATTCTACCTACTTTCCTGTTACGAGTTTACGTACTTTTTTAAAAGCACATGTTATTAACGTGAAAATCTTTCGTACATTAGCGAGTAATGTCTCGTACTTGGTTAGTGTTGTTTCAAAAATATGTATTATTTGCCAATGTCATACTGCATTATCTTGCTACATAATACATTTGTCCCTTCGTTACTTATTACAGCGAGGGATAATGTAAGCAAGCAATGCACATTTCAAAATACATAAACAAATTAGCACATTATACATTATCGTATGTATAATGATTTACAACCTTTAAATACATAATCAATTTGCAAGATAAATAATTCTTATTTTTCACGATTAATATACAAAATTCACGCTGAAATTCGTACTGAAATCATAGACCGTAGTCAGAAGTTAAATATTAGAAAAAAAATTCATACAATTCATACATTGAATTCGTACGAATTATTAGCCTCTGATATAAAAAAAAAAAAAAAAAAAAAAAAAAAAAAAAAAAGAAGAAAAAAAAAAAATAAGAAGAAAAAAACATTTATATTTAAATATCTCATATATTCTATGTACTATTATTCATAGAAATCTCGATGGTTACAGTAGACAAAACCAGTGTTGCCAAATTTATTATCAAAAAAAGAGGGAAAAAAAACTACGATATGAGCGTTGATGAAAATTGTTTGTTACACGTATAATATCATTCGTAATTCAATATAAATCAATAAATTAATGCTTGGCAATCGAAGAACGCCGAGGCACAAATTTTACTTTATATTTATTAGCGGCAATACTTAACGCTTAACCAAACATTATATTCATCGTCATTCGGATAATAGAAGAAAATGAAAGAGAAAGCCAAACTCGGCCATAATCTAAACAATCGCTCTCTTTCGAGCCTCGAATTTCCCCTCGCGCCAAAACTCGAGCATTATGACGTAAATTAATCGTTAAGGTTACGAGATATAATAATGCACCGGTCGGAGCGCTCAAATCACCTCAACTATGAAAATACAAACATACATTTGTTGAATTATTCTCGCACAGTGGAACTGGACGACGTATTTGAGCAACGTCTTCAACAATACAAACGTTACCATATCGTCGACCACCGACCAGATAATTATCATAGACCTGAAGTACCTGCAGAAGCTGCCACGACTGCTCTGGGTGACGCCGCCCGCTACCTTAGGTAACGTATAACCACGTATTTCCATCTTTCTCCCTTATAATTTCATTTTCCCTTTGGTAATGTTGTGCCGAGCCTATGCGCAATATGATTCACGAGTCGAGCACGCGCGAGACCATCGGGGATTTAATCCTCGGCTGCTCGATCCCCACCTCCCCACGGGACTCTTACTGCATTTCACTGACGCAACCGGCAAGTTTATTATAAACGAACAATGATGATAAAATACTCGGCCCTTCTTTATTCCTCCCTTTGGAATGCTCAACAATTTATGAAAGCGCTGAAAAGTTGATGCGCTGCAGACTACCGAGATCAGTGGCTATTTCTTATACGTCCTCGTCTCGTGAAATGATACTCTTACGAGATCAATCATTTCGAGTCTAGTAGACTTTGAGATGTGGCACCGTAAAATAGATGATTTTTAAATGGTGGCGGGGATTGCGGGGTGAGGGGTGAGGGGGGAGGGGGGAGGGGGGGGTGTTTGGCGATGATGGGCGGCGAGGGGGTGATGATGGGACGGGGATGAGAGGGGGATAAGGGGAGAAGGCATAACACTGGGAACATAAAACTTGAATGCAACGTAAACATTTTAATGAGCGTCGAGACGGAGAGGACAAATACATTTATTTATCTTACATTGTTTTCCATTTGTCTTTTACATCTATAAATTGTGTATAATTAATTGACACGTTGAGTGAGTATTTTAATTCAATAGCGAGAAAACGATGGATACGAAAATTAAAAATAAATACAATTAGTTATGATATTTATAAGTAATACTTGCACGCTAATGTATTAGATATTGAAGCATTTGAAATTGTTCGAACGTCAATTTGCAATGTACATGTTTAAATAAATGTTTATGCAAAGATAGTCTACGCTTAATTATGAAATCAAAAATTCAAATAACCATTGATTGATTAATTAAGCAAATTAGCGTGAACGCTACTTAGACATGTAATTCTTGAATATAATGTGTATAATGTGTATATATAGATTGGTCATAAATAGTTAATATTCTTATGTTGCGTTGCTTACTCAAGCTATCAATAAAATTAAAAATCAATATTCTAATGTATATCTAATCTTTAGGATTAGATTAATTAAAATTAATTAAATAAAAAAATTAATTAAAAAAATTAAAGCTTGGAAAAAATGATTTATCAAAAATACCGTACAATTCGAGAAAGCCGATAGGCTAAATTAACGAAGAAATGCATTCCTAAAGCTTATTCTATATAACATGTACATTGGTACAATAATAAAAGTAATAAAAAGAAATGTTGGCTACTTGATTAAAAAATACGAGATGACAAATAAATGAAAATAAATTGTAGATCAAAATATTTTAACGATAAAGATACATGGTTCTTCCGTCTTACGACGAAAATATTATCATAAACTGTCGGTTACACGTACAAGTAGAGCATAATTTAATGGGCCGTCGCCACTCTCGTTTATCTATTTATTTTATTTAAATTTTATTTGAAATATTTGTCAACTTCCGGTTAACCTTATCGAACAAAGCCTACGTTTCTATCGCGTTAATAATATTATGAGAATAGTCTCTTGGATTGTCTGTAAGTGGAAATAATGGAAGTTTAAGAACAGCGAGGAGCCAAATTAATTGGAGGATGAATAGAGATGGCCTTTATCGGTCCTTCAAGCTCAGCGAGACGCGTATTATCTCTAATCTCTTTTTTCCTTGACCTTAGCACGAATGTGCACACGACAGAACGAGATGATTCACAGAGACATTCAACCTTCTCGTGCCTTACGGTTCATTGCTCCCGGCAGCTGCCGTAGTCACGCTCCAGCTTCCCTTTTACATCTTATCAAATTCCTCAGTCAAAATTTATATTACACTATCCCTTAAATACACGATTATTATTTTATCTGATACAACTTTATTACAAGGGAATGCATTTTACATACCAAATGTATATGAATTACTAATGATTTGCGTAAAATGACAAACAGCGGTGGTAGCATTTTTTCTTATCGGCACTGTTGAATTAATGAAACCATAATGGAAATGTAATTGGTGCAATGTCATTGAAATGATTTTATCTACATTTAAAAGTCTTATTTGCTAAAATTTTCCAACAAATAATAATATTAACGCAAGAGTGCACATTGAGCAATGAGTGGTAAAGTGTTCGTTTGAGAATTGCATTCCTTTTGAATTATATAATGGATATATAATTCGACATATAAAAAAATATAATGGACCCGGTTATGAAAACTATAAAAATAGACTACTAGAAAACAACTAATAATTTTTACTAAATACACTCTTAAGTACTTTATAGTAATTTATAGTAATTATTACAACTTCCCACAGATGCGTTTAATTGATTATCATCTCATTAAAATTCTTTGTCAAACTTACTCTTGATAAATTAAGTAATTGAAAAGTGAAAAGCTTTCTCCTTAATATTTGAAAAAATTACCAAGAATTATATTTTGGATGATTATACATATATTATAAGCAATTCATTATTATTATATTGCAGTTATTTTCATAAACATATTATCAATATATTTTCTTAACTATTTAAAAAATGTAAAGTTTATAGTGCAACGAAAATCTTTAAATAGACATTCGCTTCAAACGTACGAGACATTTAAATTTAATAAAAGTATGAATCATAAATCTATTAAAGCATTAATAGCCAAATTAAGCTTTGCGTACCGAACTTTTCATAATTACAATACTTTCTTACGTTTTACTGTGAAAAACTTTGACGTTTTACTGAGATCGCAAACTATCATTAACGAAATGTATGTGAAGAAAGTTTTGATATTAATTATTATTCAAACGAAACATGGGTTCTTAAGTAATATCGATTTTTGATGATGACGCATAATTAAATAAATACATTATGTTAAACAAATATTTATATATTATAATAAGATATACATAATAAAATATTTGTGATTTAAACTACACCTTAGTGAAATACGTAATTGAAATTAACGATGCGATACAGGATTGGTAATAATTACTCAACTGTCATGTGACATTACATATAAATAAAAAAAAAACGCGTTTACATCACTTCATCGATATTCTCGCATTAATGTCGAATCGATAGATTAGAAATTTATAAATAGATAATAATTATGATTCAAATTATGTAAAAAATTATATGATACAACAATCTGAACCAACAAAGCCGAGTGAAATAAACTAGAAAACAATATAAATATTTATTGCAATTAATAGCGAAACATTTACTATTCATAGCCATCGATATAATCTATACATTAAAAACTCATAATTATTAATTCTATGATATGAAGTAAAGATACGGCATTTGAAGCCAATATTAAAAAAAAAAAATAACAGATTGAAAACACCAGTACTATTTTAAAAATATTATCAATTGTAGAAGATTTTAAAAAATTATTATACCATTTCTCCTCGTAAGCAAGCAATTATTAAGTATTTACTGTCAACAAAAAATATCACGTTTCAAAGTGAATTCATTTATTAAATCATAAATAAGAATATATTTATATTTAAGTATATCGAATAAATTAGATATTATTGTTAATATAGTTTTCTTTTCTTGAAAAGGAAATAGGCATTGTCAAACACAATAAATGTTTGCTCGAATTTATAAAGAAATTGACATAATTTAAACTTTCTACACTTCATCTACTTATTGTAATTTTTTGCCGTATTTAATAGCACACCTATAGATATTGAGAGAAAAATTTATTTAAAAAATTCACAATATTATCCTGCAAATTTGTTTATTTTCTTAAAACCATGATCAAATTAATAAAAAGAAAAAAAAACACAAACAAACAAACAAACAAAATTCAATTAAGAAATATTAAAATGCTATTAAGCCTGTGCAGGAAACTCAACAATATTGATTTTTTTTTATCCTATAAATATCAAATGATTACGACATAAGCACGAAGGATTAATTTTATCCTCCTAATAAGATATTACGTTTTAATTACTTCTATTAATAATAATCTTTATAAATAGTATATTTTAAAATAATCATTAGCTTTTAGAATTGAGAATTTTCTAGCTCCGTATCTAACGCTGGTTTACATAAGTTTCATTTAATTCTAATTATCTGAATGTAAATTGTCCCATAATTTATCCAAAGTATATTTTATATAAAGAAAGTAAGCTCGCGATAAGAAATAATATAAACAAAAATGATATCTATGAATTGAATAGAAATTACGGCTCTCGCCTTATATCAAAGTTTAATTTATTACGATATAAAATGAAACTATATAATTAAATTGCGAATACAAAGAACAATAAATCTTGTTAGTTTTACTTATATGCAATGTCGTAATAAATGCTTATTTCACCAATGCTAATAATATTTTCACATACTAAAAACAGTAATTATTCAAACAGAAATTAACTGTAATTTAACCAATACAAAACGCATTGATAAATACACATTTTTTTTCATTTTTATTACTCATCTACTAACTAATTAGGCGGTAAATTCGTGTTTAATTCAATTATTGATTAGTATTTTATTATTTTATTAATATTATTTAACGTAAATTATCAATATATTCGTTCGTACATGAAGATATAAAGCTAAATTTTATACCGTCGATAAAAAAAAATTTATTCTATTGTTTAATTTTTTACAATGATTATTTTGTATTCAAAATATATTTCAAGTATTCTCAAACCCAATTAAATTTTTCAAATAATTATTCATCTTACTTTATGAAGAAAATTTTTGCTGCATATAAGTAAGCTTATAATAAGAAAGTTTGGGACTGCAGATATAGAAGATTGCAAAAAAGTACATTGAAATTATGAAGTAATTTTACTTTGTAATGCTAACAATAAACTAAGTAAACGAAACACGTGGAAATTATTTCTCTTCTACAGCTTTAATTTCTTTTTAATTGTAATTTCGTTGAAAGTTTGTTATCAAACAATTTTTTTAATTATTTTACTAAATTTTCAAGTATTAAAAATACGTATTGTTATGAAATTAGTT